TTTTATTATCTAGCCATTGATAAAATAAATTCCATATCTTGTAATATTGTTTATCTTCTTGTTCTCTAATTTCAAATGTCAATTTACTCATTTCAGCACATTCCATGATTTTCTTAATAATTTCATCTTGCGTTGGTATTTTCTCATTTTTCCAGTTTTTAGCAAACACAATTCTAGCAGCTGTTAAAACATTCACAATCAAATATCTCAATTCTCTATTGTATATTTCTGGCACAATCCCTAATAAAAAAATCTCTGGCTTAAAGTCTATGTGTTTTTTTGTCATTTTTTCCAACCATGTGTGGATTTTAGTCCAGTATCTTTTAGCTTCTACACATGTCCACCACATATGGTAATATGACTTCAAGGTTGACTCAGCTTTCCATCTTTCCGAGATAGGTAAAATGAGGACCCGGATTGTGGAGGCAATAAGCTGACTTTGTAGAAACACCGCTTATGGAGGGCCAAAAGCCCTAATAAGCAGGTATATACAAAAGAATGAAGGCTATTGCTATAAGTGCATTGTAAGCCGCCCTGAGTCTCCGGAGGAGGGCGGCATATAAATTGAACTAATTGAACTAATAAATATGAGCCCAGTATCTGATGACATTTCCAACACTTCTCAGATTTATTCTTGAACATTCTCGCTATTCTTGTCGGGGGTAGATGCCACCTGTAAAACATCTTATACAAATTCTCCTTATATGCTGTTGACATTGTCATTTTATAATTTTGCATCCACAATTTTTGCCATTTCTCTAAATCAATTCCATAACCAAAATTTTTCCCCTATGCAATCATTGTTTCTTTAACTTGTTCTTCTTCCAATTTAATAAATAACCATACAAATTTTTAATTACATAGTCATCAGAACCTATTAAAACTTTATCTAAGTTAGACAAATTACTGTAAAAACTGTCTTAGAATCTTTATTATATCTAGAATGTATTTGCATATACGAAAACCAATCCATCTTTATATCCTGTTCTTCTAATTCTTGCTTCGATTTAAGTTCACCCTTTTCATTCAATAATTCACTATATCTAACAATTTGTTCCTTTCTAAATGTTATTGAATATGAGAATGCTTCAATAGTAGATAACCAGACTGGAATTTTAAAATAATGTTGTCTTTTAATCTTCTCCCAATTTAATAGCAAAGACTCTCGTATAACATTCCTTTCCATCTCACTGCCCAGGTGTTAGCTTCTATGTCAATTTCTTCTATATTAGAAGTCAATTCCATTGTCATCCATATCATATCTATTCTAGACCATGATAAATGTCTGTTAGAATAAAAAGTATATTGTCTATTTTTTGCATTTCTTTCTCTCCATGCATCTTTTAAATTTGCTTCCTCAATCATCTTAAAAAAGGATTTTGGCAGAGTTTTTCTACTTTGCTTTGTTGCTTTCTGTGTGTTATAGTCCATATTTCCATCTACTATGCCATTGAAATCTCCCATCATACAAATATTTTCATAGTCCAGTTCAATTAATTTCATATGTAATTTTTTATAAAAATCTTCTTGTCATTTGGAGCGTATATTGCTATTAAGAGTATTTTCCTATTATTATCTATCATTTCCACCATCAATATTCTTCCCTCTTCGTCTGCATAATTTTTTTCCATAGATATTGTGTCTCTGATATATAAAATCACTCCTCTTTTCTTACATTGCGGCAAGGAAGCAAATAATTTCCCTAATTTTGGCTGAACCAACAATTGTTCATGTTGTTTTTTAATATGCACTTCTTGTAGACAAATTATATCCAACTTTAATTTCTCTAATTTATGAAATACCTTTCTTCTTTTACTTGCTATATAAGACCATTTATGTTCATTGTGATCAATCTTTTCTCTTCCATATTCATACTTTATATGAAGGATTTGTTGCTCTAGTAGATCTCAGTTCACGTTGTTCTTTATATCCTACAATGCCCCCTACTGCGCCTTCTTCCTTTTCACTCGTAGTTCATTCCTCTTGTAGTTCGATCAATGATTCTTCCCTTCTTAACTCTACTTCCTTCTCTCTAAAATATTCAGCATAAAATGCTTTAGCTTTATCAATTGAATCTATTTTAAATCTTTGCAATTGCCATGTAAACACCAGGCCTTCTGGTATCAGCTATCTATAATTCACACCTTTCTGGAGCAATATTTTCGTCAAAAATTGATATTCTCTTCTCATCTCCCTCACTCTTCTCGGTATTTGCTTCAGAACCACAATTTCCTTGTCCTTGTATTTCAGTGTTTTCTCTTTTGTAATCTGCAATATTTGCGTTTTAATTGATTTCTTGGTGAATCTTATATGAACTTCTCTTGGTTGTTTATTTCTCATTGCATATCTTGTATATACTCAAAATATCTTATCTATGCCATCTATCGTCTTTTCTTTAATAATTTCTAATGCTTCTGCTAAAATTTCTATCATTTTTTCTGCCAAGTTTTTTCCCTTTTCTTCTTCTATATTTTGAAATCTTAAATAGAATTCTGATTTGTCCATCTCCCATCCTATCCCACTCTTATCTCGTTCAACCTCATCTAATCTGCTATCCATATCTCTATTTTTTTTGTCTCTTTGTTCTTCCTTTTCTTCAATTTTTTTGAAGCCTGTCCTCATATTTCTTCATCATTTGTTGTATGTTCTCTATTTTTTCATGTTTTCCCTGTTCTTTGTTCAATCTTTTCTGTTCTCTGTTTGATGCTCACTATTTTTGATTGTATGTCTTGTATTCCTTGCAAAATCATCTGCACTATCGCATCCTTTTCCTTCTCACATTCCCTCTCCTTTTCCTGTTGCAACATCATCTGTATTGATCATTATCCTCCCAATGGTGAAGAAGAGGGAGTCGATGCAGAAGAACTAATAGCTGCTGCCTTTTTACTCATGTCTATAAAATGGTTAAAAATATTTAAACAGTCAAAAAATCTTCAGGTTCTTCTATACCTTAATCCGTTTTTCTAGAGGACAGATACTATCCCAAATAACAATAAGCAAAGGGAAGGTCCAAAGAAAGCAAAATCTTCAGGCTCTTGTGTACCCTAATCCACTTGAATAAAAAGATAAAAACCAAATTAGGAATCTCCAATTTAAAAAAAAAAAAAGAAAAGATAAAAAAAAGAAAAACAACAAATAATTTCTTTAGGCTCTTGTTTGCCTTATTCCAATTAAACAAAGGGATATTGAACACATTAATAAACTCCCATCAAAAAGGGGGAGAAAGGAAAAAAAAGAGATAAAAAAGGATAAATATATATCAAAAATTTAAAAATATTAAAGGTCTTCTAAGAGTAAACACAATCCAATTAAAAATAATTAAAAGAGGGAACAGTGGAATAATTAAAAAAAAAAACCAAAGAAAGGAAAATAAAAAAGACTTTCTATCGAAAAGAAGAATCCACAACTGTGTATTATCCAAAAGTTCTTTTATAAGTCTCACCAAGTTTTACAGCTCTCTTTCCAGAATCACTGCAATCTTCTTCTTTCAAGTCTCATTCGCCTATCAGTAGTAGTTTCCCAGAAGAGCACCTGAGTAAACAATCCAGTAGACAGTCTTTGATGCTCTTCTAACTATCTTATCTATGAGCAGGCTCAGAGTCCTTGAAATGTAACACAGTTGCTATTTTCTTTTGCCAATAAAGAAAAAAGATACAATGTTTCAATCCACTAGATGGCAGTGTTTCTTTCTTCCACTTTCCCTCTATGTCCAATAAATGATGAAACAAAATAAAAAAGTAAAAATATAGAGAAAAGAAAAATAACAAGATTAAACCAAAATAATATAAAACTAAAAAGGCACTAAAAATTTAATAATTAGGCAGATAAAAAGGAAATCTCCAATCCAATCCAGTCCAGTCAAATTTTAAAAATAAAATCCTCCATAAGCATCCACAAATAAAAATAAATTGCAAATGTAGGAAAAACTAATTTAGATTCAGGCTCAATTCCGCCGCTTAACTTCTTCTATCTTCAATTTTAATTATCTTTTCACCCCAGGGTTCTCTGCACCCACCACTGGCTAGAGTAGAAGGCCCAGCCAGAGGGAATCTGGTTAGCAGGTGGAAGCCTGGGGTGGCTGGCATGGCTGCCCAACCAACCCCGGTTGTCCGGAGATTCCTCTTTGCAAAGGCAGTCTGGATTGGCTTACCAGCCCAGCCACAGGGTTGACAGCTGTCAATCTGGTAGATCGGGCCCATTGCGGGAAGTCTTGGCGCAGTCTGCTCTGTGCTGAATGGAATGAAGGGAAAGTTCCCCTGGTGGGTGTTATGGTCCCCTGGCTTAGGAAGGTGAATGACGGCTGGGCCAGTATCATGACCCCCTGGCCAGCCTGAGGTTGCTGGCCCAGGCTGCCCATGCTGAGCTGGCCGAACTTCTCCGGTAGGGCCTCCAAGGTTTGGCTTCTTGGCAGTGGCTGGACTCCTCAATCCCAGGATTCACTGGGGTCAACGAGTATCGTAGCCCTCCACTCGAATATGGTGGTGCGCTGCTCATGCTGCGGCGACCTGACGCTCCTGGAGCACTTGCTGCCCAGCAAATTGCCCCTCTGCCTGGTACAGCTCCTGGGAGGCTGGCCACGGTGTTGGCTCCTGGTATGTTGGGATCGTGAATGCACTGCCTGTGCCGTGGCTGCACTAGTGAACCTCGCAGGTTGGCTTCCAAAGGACAGGCTCCTTGGGCCAGGATCCCAGCTGGCACTCGAGCTCAGCTGCTACTTGCTCGGCTGCCAAGGGGAATCTGAGGGTTTCAGAACTGTCCCTAGTGAGCCCGCTGGCTCCAACAGCTCTGCTGGCAGCAGCCAGGTCATTCTCTGTTTGTTCTTCTCCATCTTCCCTGAGTCTTCCTGCTGCCCAGTAGACCAGGTAAGCAGCTGGAGCTCAGGACTCCGGACAGCAGCCCCATGCAAGCGGGGAGCTGCGGCTTCTTTTTAAAAAGAGATGCGGGTTAATGTCAGGGTTCCAAATAACAGCCCATAGGAAATCATGACTCCAAGGCAAAAATCCTCAAAGTACAGATTTATTAGGCAAGTCATATTGGCACAGCTGGTGAAAACCCAATCCTGAAGTCCCCCGGTTTTCCCCATCCAGTTCAAATCCAAATTTCTCCCCCACATTACACAGAACCATCACACGTCCCTATCAGATCTCTCTCCTCATCCTGGATGCCTCCCATCCACACCCCACCAGTTGCTGGTGAGAGTGTCCTTGGTTCCCAGGAGAATGTTATTTTGACTACATATCCCTCTGCTATCTCTACACCCCCTCTCTTTCCCTTAGCTCCAGTGAGCCTCACTATGGCAACTCTGAAGACTCTTCAAAGATGGCTCCAGGGTTGACACAGTACTCTTCATTATTTTCATAAATGACTTAGATGAGGGAATAGAAGGGGAACTTATCAAATTTGCAGATGACACTAAGCTGGCATGAATAGCCAACACCCTAGACCAGTGATGGCGAACCTTTTTTGGCACTGGGTACCCAAAGAGCACGCACATACCCAAAATGCAACATCCATGTGCCCCTACGCAGGCCCCATGCATGCATGCACCTTTGCGCATGCGAGCACTCCGTGCATGCGTTTGTGTCCCTGCACATGCACCCCATGCATGTGCCCCCCGCATGCATGGCAGAGACCTGAAGGCCAGTGTGGGAATGCGGTGGCCATAGTACATGTATAGACCAGTTTAACTGGTTGGACACGTGTATGGAGCTTGGCACCAAAATAATCTGAGAGGAAAAAGTGGGTTCATATGGATACTCTCTGAAGGGCCCTATTCATTCTCTCTTTGTTCTTAACATAGACTGTATTAGCAAAGCCAGAGATATCTCCTCCTGCTACATTCCTGAGGGTTGAGGTAATCTCTGATAGCGGGGAGAAGAGGAGATGGGCCTCTCGCCTGGTAGTAACTGGTACCAAATAGCCAGAGTTAAGTTTCGTTTTTGCACCTTTAGTATCGCTTTCCTATCTCTTGTATGTAATATGAGATGTGTAGCCATAATAACGCCTTCTGATGACGCTGTATTTGGATAACTAATAAAAGAGATGGTAGCCTTTTGTTTGCTGCTCTCTCATCCCGAGAAAACACTTGTCCTGTGTTTTCCTAAACTGGACCTCCCATGAGAAGCCCGCCAGAATGAATGCAACAGGCCAGCAGGCTGGTGGGAGGTGTGCGTGCATAATGCGGTGGAGCTGAGCTGGGGTGATGGCACATGGGACCAGAGAGGGCTCTGCATGCCACCTCTGGCACGTGTGCCATAGATTTGCCACCACTGCCCTAGATGATAGGCTCAAGATCCAAATAGATCTTGACAGACTTAAACACTGGGCCCTATCTAACAAAATGAAATTCAATGTAGAGAAAAGTAAAGTCTTACATTTAGGCAAGAAAAACCAAAAGTACACATATAGACTGGGTGAAACCAGGCTTAATAGCAGTAACTGTGAGAGGGATCTTGGAGTCTTAGTGGACAACCAGCTAAATATGAGCCAACAGTGTGTGGTGGCAGCCAAAAAAGCCAATGCAATCCTAAATTGCATTAACAGAGGGATACAATCAAGATCAAGTGAGAACTCTATACTGCATCCAGTTTTGGTCACCACACTATAAAAAATATGTTGAAACTCTAGAAAGAGTGCAGATGATTAGGGGTGCATCAAGATGATTAGGGGATTGGAGGCTAAAACATACGATGAACGGTTGCAGAAACTGGGCATGGCTAGTTTAGTGAAGTGGAGGACTAGGGGAGACATGATAACAGTGTTCCAATATTTGAGAGGCTGCCACAGAGAGGAGCTATTTTCTAAAGCACTTGAAGGCCAGACAATGGGTGGAAACTGAACAGGGAGAGGTTAGTGTTAGGGTTAGGAGAAACCATCCATCATCACTTTCAAGAAGAGACTGGACTACCATCTGTCAGAAATGGTGTAGTAGAATCTCCTGCTTGGGCGGTGGGTTGGACAAGATGACCTACAAAGTCCCTTCCAAGTCTGTTAATCTGTTAAAGTTGGATCTGTTATGCAATGTCCTTTTAAGTATCAGAAGAGTGTTATCATATCCCGATCAGTTATCAGTTAAGACCAACCCTCTCTTCCTAAGATTTAGTTTCAAATTATTTTATACACTTCATTAGCCTAGTTTAGAAATATTACAATTGCTCTGAATTCTTCTGAGCCCAGAACTAGACAGTAGTTGAGATGGAGTCTGGTGAAAGCAGAATAGAGTGGAATGTTTGCTTCATATGATTAAAAAATATGCCTGATTTGATACATCCCTAAATTGCATTTGCATTCTTTCAAGAAATTCCTATTTGGAATCAGTACTATTCTAAGAGGTTTTTTTTAAAAACAAATATTAATACCAAGTCAGGTATCCTCTATCCCAATGGTTCTCAACCTGTGGTCTGCGGACCATTGGGGGACCACAATATTATCACAGGGCGTCTGCAAAGGCATGAGGAAATGTTATGATTTAAATTTTGAGTTAGGTCTTGGTGGTCCTATCCCATATTTAAGCATTCAGTGATGGTTTTCCAGAGGAACAACTTTGAAAATGTCTATGCTGAATTTGTTAATTTTATGCCATTTCTTTAACCTGCTGAGATTATTTTGAATTCTATTTCTGCTTTCTAGCTATCGTACCCAATTACATCTGAAAATTTGATAAGGATGCTTTCCAATTTTGCATTCAAATAATTAAAATATCCATTGTCATGCCACCCAGCCAACATTTAGCAAGCTTGATAATCAGCATGTCAAGTAGTACTTCATCAAAATCTTTATTGAAGATGGTACTAAATATACATAATTCTCATACTTACAGACCTCTTGTCCAAATATTCAGTATGAGAGTGTAGTGTAGTGTAGTATAGTGTTGAATCTGTTCTAGCTAAACTGAAACTGGGCACCAACATTTACCTATCTAAAAAGATAAAATAATTTTAAAAGATATGAATATTAACCTCCTGTTCATTAATAGCCTTGAGGTAACATGTAGCGCATTTAAACATATTCTTTTTTTTTCAAAATGAGAGGGTGCATAGTAAGCTTAAAGGGCCAGCAGCTGCATTCAGAAGACAGAAATAAATGCCAAAAATGGGTGAAGCAATTTCAAGCAATCCCAAAGTGTTCTTTCAAATGTGGTGAACTTTGTCAACTTCTGCACTTATTTTTGCTTGTTGTGTTTTCATTGGTGGGATGAAAAGCACTTGACCAAGTTTCTTTGCTGCTTTATGAATCTTCTGTCTATCTCCCTCTTGACACTGCTTTAGCTGTGTCTTCAGTCTTGCTTCTTTCTTTTTTAGAAAACTGATCACATCTGTGGCAGTGATTCCTTCTCTAATGGCTTTGGTAGGTGCTGCTGTTCCAATAGTATCCATGTCACTGTCCTTTAAACACTTTTTTTTATAAACTAGTCTATATGGACCATGCAACTTATTGCTTCCACAGGTACTGTTATTGCACTTAAGGTCAGAGAATTTCAGCTCCACAATTTCTTGTACTTTTCTTACAGCCATGCATACATCTTCCTCTCCTTTTTCTTGCCTTGTTCTGACCTATAAAAAGGAAATTACAATTAGATTGGTAAATGTAGACTGTACAAGTGCAAGGATGGCATAGACACATCATGACTACTCCAGCCCCCACGAATCCTGATTAATGGAAAAGTGGTGCCATGTTTCCTCTTCTGATTCTGTTTACAATTTGTGGCTGTTGAACCTGGCATTCAGGAACAGAAGTCCCTCTATGAAGGAAATGGGTGGTTTCTAAATGTTATAAGTAAATAAAATTAAAAATAAACTAAAGATGCACATTCCTCCCCCCACCCCCCAAAATCATCAAGAATCTATATTGGCATCAGGTAGCAAATGTGAGACTAAGCCAAAAATACTCAGATGATGCAGAAATACGAAGAGGGGTCAGACAGGGCTGTATTCTGTCTCCACTGTTATTTAATATCTACGAGTCAATTTTCAACAAAGCACTGGAAAACATTGATGCTGGCCTCAAAGTAGATCAACAATTTAAAATATGCTGATGATACAGTTCTGTTAGCCAGTAAGCATAAAGACCTTCAGCTCCACGTCAACAGAGTCTCAGAAATATCTGAAAAATATGGCTTGAAGCTTAACATCTCAAAAAACAAGATCATGGTCGTCAGCATACAACCCATTAATTTACCACTGATAAATTCGAAAGGAATACCATTAGAAAAAGTTGAAAGGATCACGTACCTTGGTTTTAATTTACATGAAAGCTGGGACCTGATCAGTGAAGTAAAGACAAGGATAGAGATAGCTCAAACAGTATTCTTCAAAATGAAAAAGGTCTTCTGCAGTCACAACATAAGCCTCAGACTGAAAATCAGGCTTGTCAGATGTTACATTTTTTCTATCCTGCTCTATGGAGTTGGTCTCTGAGAGAAAACCACTTGAAGAAACTAGAAGCATTTAAAATGTGGATTTACAGATTATTGTTACATATAAACTGGGTTAACAAAATCACAAATGAGGTGATAAGCCACCTGAGAAAGCAAAGGGAAATAATCAAAGCCATTAAAAAGCAAAAGTTAGAATATTTTGGACATGTGATGCAATACCCAGAAAAATACGCCATCCTTCACTTAATCCTCCAAGGAAAGATTGAAGGCAAATGAGGTCCAGGCAGAAGAAGAACATCATGGCTTTAAAACCTTAGGGACTGGTTTAGACAAAACTCAGCAGCACTTTTTCATACGGCTGACAAAAATAGGATTGCCAACATGATCGCCAACGTCCGATGACGGATATGGCACAAGAAGAAAAAGAAGAAAGATGCACAAAATATACATTATGAAGTTGTAATAATTTCCTATTATCATATTAGAGCAAAGGTAACATATTTTTGTTAGTAATATGCACTGTTTGCCACTTCAGGGTTTAAAGCAAAAAATAAGATATACACAGTTGAATGTTTTTGAAGCCCAAATAAATTACTTTTTTGTTCTGATTAGTTGGCAGGTTTTTTAAACTTTTATTCATAAACATTTTTGAATATAGTGCATTGTCAGGGTATACCTTTTACAAATAAAAAAGACCAAAGAAAGGGTGATAGTAAATATTAACATAAACTAATAACAATAATAATAATAATACTAGCAATAATAATAATATAACCAAAAAGCTTTAACTGTTTCTTCTTCGATTGTTTACATTTTTGTTGATTATTGTGATTATAGTTATATACATGTCTATTTTCAATACTAACATTCATAATCTTATTTCTCTAATTTCTACCTCTTGTCTCTATCCATTCATAAAATTTATTCCAAATTAAAAAATATTCTGTATCTTCTTTATCTTTAATTTTTAAAATTAGTCTGTCCATTTTGGCACAGTCCAAAAATTTTTGAATTACAACCTCCTCTGGTGGGGTGTTCACATTTTTCCAGTATTTAGTATATATGATCCTTGCTGCTGTCAGTATATGTAAAACTAAATATATGGTCCCTTTATCATAACCCTCCGATACTATACCTAAGAGACTTGTTTCTGGTTTCAACTCAATATTCTGTTTAATTATCATTTCCAGCCAGCTATGTATTTTCTCCCAATATTTTCTTGCTTTACTGCACATCCACCACATGTGATAGTAGATACCTGGGGTCTGATTGCATTTCCAGCACTTGACGGACAGATTACTGAACATATTTGCCAGTCTTGCAGGTGGTAAATGCCACCTGTAGAACATTTTATAGAGGTTTTCTTTGTATGCCAAAGCCATAGTCAATTTATAGTTTCTGTTAGTTGGCAGTTTTAAGTCACATTATTTTGAACATTGTATTAGGACAGCTATTGAGTTCTTTTCCTTTTTTCCAGCCTAACCATGATGTCCCTGCGGTTATTGCTTTAAATAGGATGGCGGATGTGATAGTGGGAACAATAGAGGGAACAACCTGGTTGTGTGTGTGTGTGTATGTGTAAGCTTACAGGTGAAAAACTGCTGCTCTGTTTGGTTAGTTACTACTGCTTTAAAAATTCATTGCCATAGGAAAGTTAAGAATTTATGCTGAGCTATATTGTGTACTGTTCTTATTTTGGAGGCAAAGGATGCCTCCCACAAACATTTTAAAATTTTATTTAAATCTTTATTTAAAAGTTATTCAAATTATTTATTAAAGATATTTCTGCACCCAAAATGATACATTTCTGGGTGGTAGACAGAAGAATTCCAAAAAGCAATCTCCCAAATACAATAATTGATAACAATTAGGGAATCTGGAAGAAATATACGATCTACAATCCATTTCATTTAGGTTTAAAAGTGGATCATAGCACCCATCACAATGGTGGATGACCTTTGGTTGCCTCAGGATGGATGCAATGCATTTACTCTAGCTTTCTTTGACCTCTCAACTGCCTTTGATTTCATTGACTATGGTATTCTTCTCGACTAGCTTAGAACGATGGGAGTGGAGGGACCTTTTTGTGGTGGTTCTCCTCTTTTTACCATGCCGGGCTCCAGTTGATTTGTTGGGGTAATAAGTCTAGTCCCTGTTGCAGGGTGCTTTAAAGATCTACTTTCTCTGTACTCTTCTTTAACAGATACATAAAATCATTGGAGAGGCCATCTGCCAGCATAGAGTACAATATCATCAGTAGGTTGATGATACTCAATTGTACAACATCTGCCCCTCATTATCCTGACAAAGGCCCAATGTCTGGAGGTTGTAAAGACCTAGATCAGGGGTGTAAAGCTCAATTTTTTTGAGGGCCACATCAGCATTATGGTTGCCCACAAAAGGCCAGTTGCTTGTAAGACTATGACGACTCACAGCGACTAGGTGGGTGTGGCTGGTAGGTGTAGACAGCTCAATGCTGCTCACTGGGCGCGACTTACTTGGGATGGCTGGGTTAGGACGGAACAAGTCGCACTGGTTAACTCGACATGAGGACAATTTGGTGCCCCACAAGCTCCTTGCCTCCCCAAACTGTTGGTAGCTAAGCGCATGCGTGCATGCACAAACACAAAGCATATCTAAGTTTGGGGACTTTTATCCACAGAGGAAGGAGAGGGCCTTCTCCCCAAGACCAGGCATGATTGGCAGTTTGCAAGCTCAGATGTGAATAAAAATCTCCAAGTTTGGAATGGTGTATATATGCATATGCGTGTGCGTGTGTGTGCACGGCATGCCAAAGGAGACGTTCTTCTTCCAATCCGAGACATTGTTAGCATTTCCCAGTCTGGTGCCCTCTCCCAGCAAAGCAGGAGGTGGAGAATGACGCTGCTGCATGTGGAAGTGTGGCGGAGAAAGTTTGCAAGAAGCAGTTTCCTCCGAGTCCAACTTCTGCCTTGATAGATCTCTGGAGAGCAAGAGGAGGCAGAGGAGCAGTGCTCCCCGATCCTGCAAGCCAGATCTAATCAACATCTTGGGCTGAATCTGACCCACAGGCCTTGAGTTTCACATGTCTGACCTAGATGAAGAAAAGCAAGCTCTGGCTTAATTCTGTCAACAACAGAGTGGCTCTGGGTTTTGGACCCAGAAAGTTTCTATCCTTCTATCCTTTAAGTAAGGTAGAAGTTCACAAGAAGAAATATCTTAGGCAAGCCTTCTTTTTGCAGCACTGCTGGCCACGTCACTGGCATCTGCTTGGATTATGAATTGCCATTCTGGATCTGGGTGTTGGAGGATCAGTTCTTTGGCGAAGAGCTTTTTAAATTTCTCAAAGGCTTTTTGACAGTCCATTGACCAAGCAAGTGGTTGGCTTGGTTGTGGCTTCGCAGGGGTTGGCCCCGTTTTTAACAGTTCTGTTAGGGGCAATGCGACTTCTGCGAATGCTGGAATAAACTGTCTGTAGAAGTTTACGAATCCCAGGAAGCTTTGCAGCTGTTTGCGGGTGTGTGGGGGTTGCCAGTCTAGCACCGCTTTTACTTTTCCTGGGTCCATTTCCACCCTCCGCTGAATATGCGGTAGCCTAGGTAGTCAAGGGAGGTTTGGTGGAATTCTCATTTTGACAGCTTTGCGTAGAGCTTAGTGGCCAGGATTTTTTTCAGCATTTGCCGCACCAGCTTTATGTGTTCTTCGAGGGTCTCGCTGAATATATGAGAATGTCATCTAAGTAAACTACGACCCCTTTGTATAAGTGTTCATGCAGCATTTCATTGATTAATTGCATGAAGACTGCTGGGGCCCCTTGCAGACCGAACGGCATGACTTTGAATTGGAAGCTGCCGAGCGGACAGTTAAAGGCTCTTTTTCATTCATCTCTCTCTTTGATTCTGATACGGTAATAGGCCTCCCTCAAGTCCAGTTTGGTGAACACCTTCCCCTTGGCTAAGTGGCTTAGCACGTCCTTCCTAAGTAGGAGGGGGTAGGTGTTTTCCACGCACATGGCATTAATTCCATGAAAATCCATGCAAAGCCTCATCCCATCTTTTTTTTTCTTTAAACATTACTGGGGCAGCCATCCTGGACTTTGCGGGTTGGATAAAGCCCCAGGCTCAGTTGGCATCGATGTACTTTCTTAGGTCTTCCATTTCCTTGGGAGTCATGGAGTACATCTTTGGCTTGGGCAGC